ACTAAGCAGGGAAAAATCAAGAAAACATAGTGATTATTAACATATACTCACTAAATATTGGTTCATCAAATTCTAAAAATCAGACTCTAATGAGCATAAATTGGCAGATAAGCCCAGATATGATAAGGGTGGGCAACTACAATACTCCACACCCACCAATAAATCATGCAAAGAACAATAAAAATAATGGTATTCATAGTAAAACCATATCATAAACCAAAGTATTTAAGAAACATCTACCACCCAACAGTTGAGAATATACTTGGTTCAGAAACCCATTCATGATTTTATTCTATACTTCAGGCATGTGGGCCATAATGTACATGGAGGTAGAATTTTATTTTGTACCTGGAGAGAAAACAGTTCCTTGCTAAAGCCTGAATGCTAGTGAATTTTTGAAGAAGACTATGTGATAACACCTCGTTCTTTCAGTGGTCACAAGTCTGTCTATAACTATTATAGACATTTTCTCAAGTTATAAAATTACTGAACCTCAGATAGATAATAGATAGCTAGACATATAGATGGATAGATAGATGATAGGAAGAAAGATGATAGATAGATAGATAGATAGATAGATGATAGATAGATGATAGATGACAGATAGATAGATGATAGATAGATAGATGATAAATAGATGATAGATGATGAAGATAGATAATAGATAGATGATAGATGGTAAATAGATGATAGATAGATGATAGATGATGAAGATAGATGATGATGAAGATAGATTATGACATATGATAGATGATAGACAGATAGATAGATAGATAGATAGATAGATAGATAGATAGATAGATAGATTATGACATATGATAGATGATAGACGATAGATAGATAGATAGATAGATGATAGATGATAGATAGATAGATAGATAGATAGATAGATAGATTACATTTATTTAATTATTTGGATGGACATGCAAAGTCACAGCATGCATGTTGATGACTATACTTTAAGCCAAATTAGTAAACCTTTTTATTAATACTGATTTTATTTTTCCAGTACTGACTGTACTTGGACTTTTTTAGCCAAGTTCTTTAAAACTAAGCTGTATTTCCAGCCTTCTTTTTGACTTTTTGAGATAAGGTTCCACAAAAGTACTTCAGCCTCCTGAGTAGCTGGGATTACAGGCCTGTGTCACCAGCAGTAAGTGGATCTTCCTGCATCAGTTAACCTAACCAAGATAATTTTCCACAGATATGCCCACAGGCCAATCTGATCTGGTGATTCTACGTTGTGTCAAGTTGACAAAACTAACTATCATAGTTACTAAGTGGCAGGAAAGAGTGGGATCCACTATGTGGTCCTTACCCTAACTATGAAAACATTCTACAGGCTTAAGTATAAATGCATGCCACAAGACCCATGTAATTTCTCAATGATTTATATCTGAGTATCCTGCCAAGGTCTGCATCCCAGGACCATGATATGACTGTCCATCACCAGGAGTCATCACTGATAGGATTCATCAAATACCATTACTGTTGCAAATGCAGGAGGGACAGACCAGCTTCAACTTAGTCTGGCGTATACACACCATAATCACTCTTTTCAAAAGAACACAGGTTTCTCTTTTGGCAGGGGTCAATACATATAGAGCCAGTCAGGGCTAAGGGACTACATACTTCCTGGGGGCTGTCTCAGTGGTGAGACATCCAAGCCATGGCTAGAGTCATTCATAACTATGGCAAGCAAGATAGCTCTGGGAATGGCTTTGTGATGGTTGATATTGTTTGTGAACTTGACAGGGTTTAAAGATGCTTGGAGATAAGGTTCCAGGCACATGTATAAAGGATTTTCAAGATTACACTAGCCTCTGGGGATGCCCGTGAGGGATTACCTTGATGACATTAACTGAGATGGGAATATCACCCTAAAAGAGGCCAAAGCCATTCCCTGTGCTGAGATCCTGACTGCATGAAAGGGAGAAAGCTAGCTTAGTACCAGTGTTCATCACTCTCTGCTTCCTGACTGTGGGTATAATGTAAACATTTACCTCAGGGTCTTCCCACCATGACTTCTCCACCATGATAGACTGCATCCTCAAACTGTGAGCCAAAATAAACCCTTTCTCCCTTAAGTTGTTTTTGCTGGAATATTTTAGCACAGCACAGGATCCATAACTAAGACAAGCTTTCACTTTTTTGTATGACATCAATAGAGCTTCCTTGGGCACAAAAGCAGCTGACAATAATGACATCAAAACAAGCTGGCTTGTTTCACCAACCCACGTAGGTGGGCTCCTTGAGGTGAGGAGGAAGGTATGAGAGATTCAAGAATGACACCCTGGGAAGCCAAGTTTGCACTGCTCATGCTATCCTGGGGAACTGAAGGAGATGGGGCTTTCCTAAGACAGAGAAATGAGAACTTAGATATGTAATGTCTGAGTGTGATCTGGACCCCTCCATCACCTAGAACGTCGTTGCTATGTGGAGCTATTCAACACCAGAATGATCCTCACAGAACAGAGACGGCCCACTACAGAGTTGTGCTTTCTTTAGATCAGTGCCTTCTGGGGGCTGTTTTGGAAAGACATTCTGTCAAGGGCTACTCTGTCTTCCATCCCAGTAACTCTCATGGGATTGGAGATCCAGTGAGTAGTGGTCCAGGAATTAATCACAGATTGACCTGGCCTATTGAGAAGAATCAACTCATACTCAGGATGCAGAGGAAGTTATTCTTTATTACACATGGGCCTCAGGCTTCAGAACTGGGCGAAACCTTTGCTCCCAAGAAACTGAGGTCCTGGTCAGAAATATAGACAGGTTTTTATATACAGGTTTCACCTTATCCCTTGGCAGTAATCATTTTGGTGGGTTTGAGACTTCTAGCACAGAAGTGTACATACCCTCTTGATTACTATAGGAAATTTAAACAGCATTTTGCAAAGAACACACCTATAGCAGGTGCTTCCTGAAAGACCATTATAAGAGGCAGCATTTTCCAAGGTACTGACAGACTGAAGCACTATGTGTATCATTAACCCCCAAACTTCCCAGCAAATAGCCCATGATTTATCACTCCATCACATCAGCATTTATTGATCACCAGTGTGCTTTGACTCTTTTTTTTTTTTTCAGGAAAACAAGTCAACTTCATAGACAAGAAAACAGGCATTTACTATCAGAATCATCCAGGTGATATTTGGAGAGGCAGCTGAGGGTCCTGTAACTTCCATCTCTTCAAAGCACACACATTAAACACTGTGGAAATAAAAGAAAGTTTAAAATGAATGCTTCAGTCCACCTTACCATGCCAAGATCAATGTTACATGTGTCTGACCTGCCAGTAAATTGTGTTTTCTGTGCTCTAAAGGGAAATCTAGCATTAGCCAGGAGAACAGCGGAGGCTTGTTCTAAGAATAATCAAAGTAGTCCCCATTTTAAGTGGAACATACAGTCATGATTTGTATGCCACATAAGTTATGCAGCAAAAAATATTGTGTTGATCATATTCAGTGCTAAGGAACATTGTTTTAATAGGGAAACCTTATAATATTGACAGAGGTTAATTTGTAATCACTTAAAATTTAACATATATGCACCCATATAATATGCACGAACACTTCGACGTCATGATTTTATGCAAGTACTGTAGAGCAAACAAAATAGCTCATGCACTTCTTAAAATCATCAGGCAAGAAACCTACTTGCTCACAGTAATATCAACATATTGGCAAACATGAGGCTATAATCAAAGGAAGTAGCACACCTATATGGTGAAATTTGATAAAAGTCTGATGAAAGTAAGGGAGATTTCTGCATTCACATGGAATATCTCCATAATGAACCTTTAAATGAAGAAAAAGTCATAGGACAAAGAGGAAAGCAGATTCAGTTGTATTTTGAGACCTTAAAAGGTGTGTATTCATGTCCATGTTGAATACACCAGGGAGCAAGCACACTGAACTGTTAGCTGCCATTCCTTCTGTGAAAGGGAACACAGCAGGGTGAGACAACATAAGAAAGAAGAATGGGGGATCGGAGAGATGGATCAGTAGTTAAGAGCACTGGCTGCTCTTGCAGAAGACCTGGTTTTGATTCCCAGCACCCACATGGCGGCTATGAACTGTCCTTAACTCCAGTTCCAGGGGAATCTGACACCCTCTTCTGGCCTCTGTGGGCATTGCATGACATGGGTGCACTTACATTCAGGCTATACACTCATACACATAAAATAAAAAAAAATATTTTAAATTTTTAAACAAAAAATAAAAGGAAAGAAGAATGGCATCTCACTCTCGAGAAAGAGTACTGCTTCGACGTTTAATTGAACATTTATCTTGTATTTATTTTATAAATCAAAATGAAATTTAATACTGAAAAGTAATGGGATGATTAACATTCATTGTCACATTGACTGCATTGGAAATACCTGGGAGACATGCCTCTGTGCACAGTTCTGAGGGTGTTTCAGGAAAGGTTTAACCCAGGAGGAAATCCTACCCTGCAGGTGGGCAATAGTAGCTCATGGACTAGGGTCTCAGACTAATATATAAGGAAAAAAGGAGGAATCCAGCTGACCACAGCATACATCTCTCTGTCTGTTTCCTGTCTGAAGACTCAATGTGATCAGCTTTCACACACCTCTATGGCTTCCACACAATGATGGAACCCATCACCTCAAATTGTGCACCAAATTAAACCTCTCTTCTCTGAATTACTTTCCTCAGGTGCTTTGTCACAGCAATGACAAAACTAATATGCCTGTGCTTACAATTATCAGACAATGTGTAAAATAACACTAGCTGTGAAATTTGCCAATAGCCCAGTACACTTGTTCTTCCTGTGAACTCTTTTGTGCTGAATATTTGAAACCAGGACTTCATATCTTGATAAGCCTGTTTCATTCAACAGGACATACTTCACAGAAATGTCTGGTGACCCCTGACTAAGTTGTTATCAAGCAATGTAGATCTCAGGCCCATCCATCAGCCCACAGCTTTGCCCCACTTAGCAGTTAGATAGAACCCTCTACCTCCTTCTCCACATTCTTACTTCTGAGGAGAACATTGCTTCCATTTCCTGTCTTTGTTGTAATTGCTCGTCAATGAGCACCAACTGCGGTTCAAAATGTATCCTTCCTTGGTGCATTCAGTAACCAACTGTCTTCTGAACTGGAAAGGGAAAATGCACATGGGAGGATCTAAAGAGAAGGGGGGGTAAAGGACAATGAATATCATCATCATATTAATCCATGCTGTATCCGTGCTGAGAAAGGGAGTCCTTCCATATAACACTGAGCCCCTTAGAGCTATCCAGACATGGAGGACTACAACCTTAGCAGCGAACATTTAGCTCTTTCTACCAGATCACTTTCAAATCCTGTGAAATACATAGAAAAGACAATGTGTGAACTCAGTTCTTTCTGAAACCCAAAGCCATTTCCCAAGCTTCTATCCAGTGCCTCCTGGGTCTTGTATATCTAATAAATTCCCTCACAGGACACTCACCCAGTGCAGTGCAATATCGCCATCTTCCTTGGAAGTTAAAATCAAGGGAACACCAATCAAAGTCACTGTGGATGGAGATACAGTTGTAATGGGTTGCACCATTATAGATGAATGGAAAAACACACTTAGTAACAGAAATTTCTGGAAAAGAGAACAATTTCAGAATGCAAAGTAAACTCACAATGGGAATTGAATTTCAAATTGCTTTGTTTTGGTTTTGAGACAGCTCTCTCTCTCTTTCTGTAACCCAGTCTGGCTTGGAATTCACTTTGTAGCCAAGGAGGCACTGGGTGTTTGTTTCTTTGTAAGTCACCCCCCCAAGGGCATAAACCATAATTAATTCACATAAAAATATGTTATATGGTTTGTCTGATAGTGCAAGAGATCCCAAGAGAACTCAGCAACAAAATTGGCACAGCAAGCAGGATGGCACTAGAAATGACAAACTGCAGAATTTTCAAAAAAGCTAGAGAGCTGATGGTGGCGGGGATGTGGTTTTTACTGAAAAAACCTAGGCGCCATGAGGCCACCTGATAGGAATGCCTGACAAGAAGTCAAGCATTGAGAAACTAGCTTATCAGAAAAACAGGACGTAGTGGTCAAGCCATCTGCATCTGGCAATCCCCGGGGCTCGATACCAGGAAATCAGGAGAAAAACCTCTGTGTCCCTGAGGTCACCTCCCATTTAGCAATCCCACTTCCCCTTAGCCCCGACCCTTACCCCATATTTCTGTGTGCTTTTGAAATTACTCTGTGTGTTTTTGAATTAACCAATAACCACGCTTCTGCTTCTGTACCCTGCTTCTGCTCTATAAAAGTGCAAAAACCCAGCATGGGGGCGCGCAAGTCCTCCGAGGAGACTTTGTGCCCACAGGTACCTGTGTATCAAATAAACCTCATGCTGTTGCAACCCGAAGACTGACTTGTCCTCAGTGGTCTCACTCTTACAAAGATGTGCTTGTTTTCCTGTGCCTGTGTTTCCTCATAGAGTTTATTTCCAGTTTTGTTAATTTTCCTGCAGATTAATGATTTTACTTTTTAGCTGAATACAATTCCATTGTATCATTGTGTCATATTTCTATTTCCTGTTCACCAGTTGATGGGAATCTAGATTGATTCTATTTCCTGGCTATTGTGAATGAAATGAGAATAAAGCAAAATGAGCAAAGGTATGGAGTCCTTTGGTTATGTGACCAGGGATGGTTAACTGTGTGTTAGGGTTTTTCTGATTTTAGCTTTTTGGGTGATCATTGTGGCTGCGCCAGTTTGCAATCGCTCAAACAGTGAATAAAGATCCTCCTTTTTCCACAACCTCACCTACATTTGTTTCTTCTTGATTTCTTGATGAAAGCCAGGCTGAGTGGAGTGAAGTAGAAACCCACAGTAGTTTTAATTGGTTTGTATCTGATTACTAACATTGAAACTTTACAAAAGTGTTAATTAGCCATTCTTATTTCTGCTTTGAGAAATCTTTGTTCAGATCAGTAGCCTATTTTTTGATTGGGT